CAGTGATTGATGGTGTTAAATCTCTCCTTCGGTGATCAAAGAACATGGTGATGGGGAGTTGTCGTCTTTCTTTTCATTTCTTCCATGATGTTTTTGTATGGAGCAAAAACGTCATCCATCCCTCGCATGAATTTCAGGGCACGCACCATGGAGGGGTCCATACTATAGGCCAGGTTTTTCAGTGCCTCAATATTCCTGGTCATCTCCCCCAACTTCTCCAACGTCATTTCTTGGTGCTCTTCTTCATCCTCTTTCCCTTTCGCTTCCTCCTTCCTTGCCTGAGTCTACTAACTCCTGTAGATCCTCCTCGGTCAGCTCAGTTTTGTGCTCTTCAATTAGCTCCCTAATCTCATCCTCTGCCATGTCCTGGAAGCCTTCAGCAGCCACTTTCCTTGACAGTGCCAGGGTCTTTCTGAATATTTTCATTAAAATCCATCAAAATCATTTTCCTTGTCATCGTCTTAAGCACCAAACAGCTCCTCCCAGTCTTCTCCTTGAATAGGGCTAGAGGGTACGTGTTTTTCGAATCGTTTTCAATTAAAAAAATGTTACAGCACATGTATATTTTACCTAAACTGTGCCTGAATGAATATATTCTCAGAAATAAATAGTAGTTTTGCTGAAACGTGATGTACAGGTAGTTCTGCTATAACGCGATAATTGTGTTCTTGTAAAATATCGTGTTATAGAAAATCGCGTAATAGAAATAACAGGGCTTATGGAGAAAATAGGGTTAGGTGCAGATTACTCGAAATCGAAAAAATTTAGTAGTTAGCATAACACAAAGGACAGCACAGTCTAAATAAATGTTACATTCATATCTAATAATGAAATCATACAGTAAATGTAATTTTACTTGATGGGGGAGAAGGGTGATTTTGAGGTTGATAAAATCGAGCTTCTCTTCAAGTGTTATATCCTTTCTTTTACGATCATCACCGGGAATTCTATCACCAGAACGCTTCTTGTTGATATTCTTCTTTACTATATTCACAGTTAATACAGTACCAAAAAATTGGAGAAATAGTAAGCAAAAATCGCGTTATAGCAAACAAGCGTTCGCGTTATACAAATATCGTTCCTAATTCATAAATCGCGTTAGAGCAAATTCGCGTTATCAAAACACGCGTTATAGCAGAAATCACTGTATTTTAATGTAAAATAGGATAAAATACATGACGAAAACAAAAGACTTTACGATGTTCAAGAGGTGTTACTCGTTTTTTTATTAGTTTTCTGTTAAAATACTGTTATATTACAATGATATTCTATTCATACTGTGCTTGATATACTACATTCACGGAAATGTAATATTTTTGCTGAAATGACGTACGTATTACAGTGGAAGGTGGGATAAAATCATGACGAAAACAATGACTTTCGCTTTCTTTCGTTCAAAAGATGTTACTGTAATCACTTTTTGAATGGTTTTCAGTTAAAAAACTGTTGCATCACAAGTGAATTAGGATAGAATATTATTGTAATACAACAGTTTTTTGATCTGAAAACCATTCGAAAAGCGATTACGGTAACATCTTTTGAAGGAAATCAAAATAATGTAGTCTAGCGTAATGCATTTCAATTATGAAATTAGGATAAACTACATGAAAACAAAAGACTTTACCTAACCTTCGATGTTCAAGATGTTACTCCTTTTTTAGTAGTTTTCGGTTAAAATACTCTTATATTAGTGATATTCTATTCATACTGTGCTTGATATAATACATTCACGGAAATTTAATATTTTTGCAACTACAATGCTGATGTCAACCTAGCGTGGTTACAGCGAGACTGACTTAGTGAGAGCGGGAAGCTATGCGTGTGTGTTTGAGGTTGCGGAAGCGGGTGGTGTCCGTGTTGATTGCAGCGTCTTGAGAGTTGAATGGCTAGCGTTTGAATGTACTTCAATTACTTCAATGTACAGAATATTCCTCAGCCCGGGGCAATCCCGCGTATTTGCAAATCCGTGTATGCTAACCAGCATATGTTAAGGGCCGACTGTAGTACATTTTATTAAATGTTTTTCAACTGTATTTTTGGTAGATTTACAACAATTTCTTCATTTATTTTCACCCATTTACATGCACAAACCATGCTAAAAAAGCGTAAAAGAAATAAATGACCTTAGTGCAAAGCTGGAGTGCACATGTACTAATTTGATTATGGTACTAAAATTGTTATGTCTAGTCGAATTACAACATGTTTTATATTCAAATAAATCAGTATCTTACAAGAATCCCAGCAATGTTAATTATATTCTCCTAGGTCATATCACTGGCATTTTAAAATGAGAAGCTTAGTAGGACTGTTAAATAAACACAGACCTTCGCCCAAACTTATCACCTCAACCCCCCACCCTACGCTGGGTGGCTGGCTCCCTCCCTCAGCCAGGGTTTTAGGCTTACATTTTCTATCTTATATAATATCTCAGACTAAAGTTAGGAGATTATAATTTGCATTGCTGGAATCCTTGCAAGACAGTCAATAATTTGAACATGACGTCATATATTTTGCTCAAGATAAAATTGTTGTACATTAGTGTACAGTACTGTAGTACATTTTATAAAAAGTTTTTCAACTGTATTTTGGGTAGATTTACATAGATTTCTTAATTTATTTTCATCCATTTACATGCACACACCATACTAAAAAAGCGTAATAGCAATAAATGACCTTAGTGCAAAGCTGGAGTGCACATGTACTAATTTGATTATGGTACTAAAATTGTTTTGTCTAGTGCAAATTATAACATGTTTATATTCAAATTAATCAGTATGTTTCAAGAATCAGCAATGTTAATTATATTCACCCAGGTCATTTCACTGGCTTTTTATAGAAAGCTTAGTCACCTAAGAACTGATAAATATACTTGGTTAGACCTGGGCCAACTAACGTACTACCTCCCTCCCCATGCCCCCCTCGCTCGCTCACCCCTCTCTCCCCCATCTGCCCGGCATTGCTGGAATCCTTGTAAAACAGTGAATAATTTTAATAAAAATCATGTATTTTGCACAAGAGATATTAATCACCTGTATCACATTATAGCAGTGATTCAGGAGTAAATGTGTATGTGTACGTATATAGTATTCCACATACACGTAAGTATAAATACAAAGTTTCTGTGATGATCGGACAACGTCCATTTCGGTTAACGTCATGTTTCCAAGAACGTATCTAGGACCTTAACCGGCGCATGACTGTACAGCTACTCTGACTTACAATGGGGTTAAGGACCCAAATCCAGGTCATAAGTCAAAATGGTCGTAAGTCGAAAATGCTAAATAATACATAGAAAATCTAAAATGGGTGCTCCTTTTTCTTCTTGGCATCACAAAACTCAAACTGCTTGCCAGCCATTTTAAAGTGAATTACAAACGAAAATTTTGTCTGTGTACTGACGTTAGGGGCCTGAAAATATGTAATTTGTCAAAATTTTGGTACGACTGGAGGACGGTCAGTGCGGTGGTCGTAAGTCGAGTAGGTCATAAGTTGGGGAGCAGCTATATATAGACGACATATACACTAGAACTCCTGATTAATTTTTATTTCAGTAAAATATATGATTTTTTATTCAAATTATTCACTGTCTTGCAAGGATTCCAGCAATGCAAATTATATTCTCCTAACTCTACTCTGTAATATTATATAAAATAAAAACTAAGTCAAAACACCAAACCTGGAGGCGAGAGGGAGGGTGAAGGGGAGGTGAGGGTGTCATGTTTGACAGTTGGGTCCGGGTCTGGTGAAGTATTTATTTGTTTATTTATGTCCTTTAGATTGAGTTTTTGTTTTTGCTTATAAAATGTCATAGAAGTGACATGGGAAAATATAATTTACCTTGCTGGAATTCTTATAAGATAGTGATTAATTTGAATATAAATGTCATATATTTTGCACAAGAGATAAAAATTGTAGTACATAGTACATTTTAATAATGTAAAAATTTTCAACTGTATTTTTGGGTAGATTTACATAAATTTCTGGATGTCTTTTTCTTCAGCACCACGAGAACTAACTTTCTTGCTACGATCTTGCACTTAACTCGTAACTTAGGGCACGCCGTATCTTCTTGGGCTTGGGGGGCTGGGTCCAGGTAAATCAAGGTTTTTGTGGGGGTGGTGGGGTCCAGTGGATGCCATTGTTGAACAGATTAGCGGTACAAGAGAGAACAGTATCTGGCGACTGAGAACAATGAGACTGACGCTGCTGGGTCAGTAGCTCTCCCTTGTCAGGCCACGCCATATAACATTAGACCAATCACAGCTAGCGGCAGAGGGAGGTAAGGTAAGTGGCCCAATCACAGTCCGATACGCCATATGACGTCAGCGATAACGCAACAGCGACATACTGTACTGCGATCCATATCCGCGCCGCTTCCTGTGTATGGTCGAGAATGGACCGGGTGAATAAAATGCGCGGCTCGCCTGGACCTCCAGCCCGTAAATGACCAAATTTACCGCGTAATTAAATGACCAAACGTAAACAAAACGCCAGAAATGCAGAGTACAGTTTACTGTTCTGTATATATTAAGAAAAATATAAAGGAGGAAAATACAGTGATCTTCGAGAAGCCGAACAATTGGTAGAGCACTTCCGAAATGAGTGATTTCCGTAACAGACGACAATCAATGCCGAAAAAATCCTCATCCCGGAATTTTTCGGTAATGGAAAAATTTTCTCAGAAGTTCCAGAAATTGCCCATTACATCATCTCGCACCAGAAAAATATCCCTCATCCTCAGAATTTTTCAGGTACCAGAAAATTTTCAAAAATTTCCAGAAAATTTTGAAAATTTTTCACAAAGCCGGATTTTACGGAAAAATCTGGCTTGGGAATGATTTTCCCGAGAAAATTTCATTCTGCCTATCGAGAGTTCTGGGTTGAGGGTTCGCCAACGGAGATATTACTACACACAAAAGTGTTTTTCCTAAATAATCCCTGCCATAATACGGTAAGTGTATTGGTAATGCAGTTCATTCACTGAGAATTATCCTCCACAGATACAAGCTGGTACTTCCCACTCTTGCATCACTGCCACTGTTAATGGTATACTACATCAACTTGGGTTCAACAACAGTTGTTGTACCGCTTCACAGTGGATCGGTCTTACACTTAATATAGGTCAGTAAGATCATGATGTCTTTTGTTTTACACTCATAGTTTCCATAGATGATTCCTTTTAAGAGTCACCAGGCTGGTGTCAGCGAAACTTAATATGAAGTACATTTATACCCCTGTATCTTCATTAGCTGGAATCCTTCAAACCCAGTGTGGTATCTTACATGATTTAATGGGAGAAGGAGAAGCCACATGCTGGCTCTTGCTCAGGTAGTTTATTTTTGAGGTTGTCGCACAACGTGCCTCACGCATTCTTGATTACACAGGCTTAAACTCATTCTAACTTTGGTAAAAAAAACATAATATATACAGTAATGTATATATAATCAATAAAGGCAGCATATAAACATACACATACTGTATAACACCCAGAACTCTCCAATAGCCGAATTGAAATTTGCTCAGTAAATCATTCCAAAGCCAGAAGTTTAAAAAAATTTCCGGCTTTGGAGACAAACTTTTCTGATGTTGAAAATCAAAAGCATTTTCTGAAAATGTCTTGAATAAAGACAAAAGCCAAAGTATTTTTGGGCAGGGACCTGACCTGACCTGACTCAACATTAGGTGGAGGTAGGGTGGGGATTAGTGGTCTCATATTACTGACCTTCTGATGGAATGTCAGGTCACCCTTTCTTGGTGAGGGATTAATGGGTCCCTGACCTGAAGATGTCTTGAATAAACAATGAAACCTAAATTATTCAGGAGATTGTGAAAAGTACAGTACTGTATAAGTATAAATGAGCAAAGTTGTATCCTTCAACATTACATTATGTAACATTTTAAAATATGGAGTGAGAAAGCAGAAAGATGTGGGTGATTAGAGAGAGGGAGATGAAAGGAGTGGTAACATGCACCAGTAAATGCTGCATAAGCTCAACAGCTGATCGCTTAATTTGCCTCCATGCAGTCACACATCAAGAACTTCAACGGATGCTTGTTGTCTTATTCCCGTGTGTGTGTGTGTGTGTAGTAATAAATAAATAAATAATAATAATAAATAAATAATAATAAACGGTTTATTAATAGAGTTGCAGCCTGTGGCTGAAAATATACAGACTTACATTTGATTTAGACAATGATATAATATGCATTGAATACATTTACAGGGCTGTACAGTACATAAATCAGGAATTGTTTATTATTTTAACAATAGATGGGATGGTGCTATTCTTATATCTATCGTGCTGGCTCTTATGGGCTGAATTTTGTAGTGGCGGGCTGCAGGTGTGGGGCTGCCGTGGCAGGAGGTGGCGATGACGAGGGTGGTGCATTAGTTGGCTGCCAAACCTTTCCAGTGCTTGGTGGTGGAGGTCTCTGAGGATGGCATTTCCAGGATGGCGAGAGTTGGTGTAGCTGGGAGTATCTGCGCTGAGCATGATTCTGCAGGCCCTTTTCTGTACCTTCTAGCTGACGTTGTTGGGTGGAGTTGAGAGAAGACGATCAGGCTGGTGACGATGTGTGTGTGTGGGTATTTTTTCAGTACCACTGCAGTCTATCCGTGGCAAACAGGGAAGCAACTTGCATATGCCCCTGCCAGTACACAGCCTCTTCACCATCAAGATTCCTGCTGTACCTCCTCCTGGCAACACATGGTAACTGGGTGCCTTACCAGGCTAGACCAGCAAGGGTTCTCGAGCAGCAGTGGACCCCAGAGGGACGGCACATAGGCCCACTGGTATGTGGACACATTCTGGCACCTACCAGCCATATGGCAGTGAGACATGGGTCACATACAGGAGGCACATTAATGCATTTGATAACTTCGCCAACGTAGTCTACGTTCCATCCTCCGTGTTCGCTGAGAAGTCAAGAGAACAAATGCCAGTATTCTTACTGACACTAACTGAAGGAGCATCGAGGCTACCATTATCCATGAACAACCACGTTGGACTGGCCATATACCACGATAGACGACAGTAGACTGCCAGAGCAACTACTTTACAGTCAATGAATAGTAAACGTAATGCTGGTAGGCAACTGAAGAGCTATAGATAGTCTTAAGACAAACCTGAAAAGTGCCAAATTGACCCCTTCACCTGGGAGAAGATTACTCCACACTGTAACACTTGGAGGAGCACCATACAAGAAGGTGTCAATACTTTCGAGTTAGCCTGACTGCTTAATCGAGGCAGACAAGCGCCAACGCCGAAAGATGCTGCCGCTGCCCTCCCCGCACTAGATGTAGCCCCCATATGCAATTTCTGTGATCGCTCCTAGGGTCCCGTATCAGCCTCTTTAGTCACCTCAGTACTCACCAACATAGGTGACATCCTATTAACTCAGACCATTGTATCATAGCTGGATGATCGTATACTCGATTCAGAGTGACAGCAAAGTAGTAGGAAGTAGTAGCATGCATGCTTGTGCATGCATGCGTAATAAACATTCAAAGAAATATTGTTGAACTTGCCACATTGTAGGATTTCAAGAAGTTGATGAATGTTTAGGAGTCAGGTGGTGAGCTGACATGCCAAGACACTTACACAACACACACATTAACAGCACTACTAAACCATTGTCTTATAACATTTGATTTTATAATTTTGATCTTAAAATTAATTTATACGTAATGGCTAGACTTGGCTACTTTTGTGCTTAGCCAACTGATCAGTGAATAAACCAGGGCATATGGAGACATATTATATACACTAGTGATGTCACGAGGCTTCACATCTGCAACCACAACTGCTGAGCAACTGCATAAATTATCATAACTCTGCTCAAAATGTACTAAGTTAATTACTAAAATATATGTCTAGTGCAAACTATGGGATGTTTATACTCAAGACTTATCTTGCAAGAATTTCGATCAAGTTATATTCTGCTACATCAAGTCAGTGACATTTTATAAGCAAAACTAAAACTCCCTGCCTTTTATAATCCTTGAGTACAGGTTAATCTCCCCAGCTGACTGTCAACACCCCACCTCCCCCTCTTCCCAACCACCAGGTTGATGGTGGGAGTATATGGCATTGAAAATGATTAATGGGATGAATTTTGTTTTAGGCTTAAAGTTTTCTTATAAAATGTCACAGACATGACTTCACAGAATGTAACTTGCATTGCTGGAATCTTGCAAGACAGCAATTAATTTGATATAAATATCTCAGTTTGCACAAGAGATAAAAAATTTAGTCCTTTAGCATAGTATATTCAGTACAAAATGAGTACAGTACAGTAAAATCTGGATGATACGAGTAGATACTTCCTTGGAGTCTGCTCATACAGTGAAATCTCATATAATGGAGGAAATAATACATGGGTTAAATAGGGATGTGTTCCAGAGTATAGTGATAACCATAAATAAATGTGATTCAGTACGCACGGACAAACTGGAAAAGCAGATTCAAACACTGTGAGAAGGGAGAGGGTTGCTGGGAGGACAGTAGGGAAGGGTGCGCAGTCTGGCTGAATCACTCGCAAAACACGTCTCTACTCATCTGGCTGGGGAGGATGGTAAGGAGGGGTGTGTGGCCTGGCTGAGTGGCTCACAAACACATCTCTGCACATCTGGCCGGGGAGGACGGTAGGGGAAGGGTGTGTGGCCTGGCTGAGTGGCTCACAAACACATCTCTGCACATCTGGCCGGGGAGGACAGTAGGGGAAGGTGTGTGGTCTAAGTGACTCACAAACACATCTCTGCACATCTCGCTGGAGGGAGGACGGTAGGGAGGGGTTTGTGGCCTGGCTGAGTGACTTACAAACATCTCTGCTCATATGGCTGGGGAAGGTGTGGCCTGGTTGAGTGACTCACAAACACATCTCCGCTCATCTGGCTGGGGAGGACGTTAGGGAGGTAGGATGGGTGCGGCTGGCTGAGTGACTCACAAACACATCTCCGCCATCTGGCTGGGGGTGGACAGGGAGGTAGGGGAAGGGTGTGAGCTGGCTGAGTGATTACAAACACATCTCCGCCCATCTGGCTGGGGCGGACAGTAGGGAGGTAGGGAAGGTGCGCTGCTGGCTGAGTGACTCACAAACACATCTCTGCGATCTACGCCACAAGAAACGTCACAGACTATGTCACTGCTTGTTCCACCTACTTAGCTGGGTAAACTGAGCAACACTGTAGCCAAGTTAGACTCATCACTGCAACCACCAGGCAGGCTACTGGGCCAAGCTGTAAGGAGTTATGGTTGTTTTTCAACTCGTATTTTCGGGTAGATATACAGTATCTTCATTTATATTAATTAATGGATAAAAGTTACAATAACTACCATAAGTATTTTGATGTTTAGATTCGAGATAGGCTATATTGGGTAAATTTTAAGTTTTGGTCATCCCTGCTTAGACATGCAGACTATGTTTTTCCTGATGGTCATGGCGTGTGTATGAACGATTATGCCTTCATTTCTATCGAAATCACTAGTTTTGAATTACTACCCTCCCTTAACAATGTATGTTAAGCTAACCTTATAACTCATCATACCCTAACCTAACATAACATATGATCTGTATTTTCTTATACCTGAAAAATGTTTTGTGACATAAATCCTGTGCATCATAGTTAGAATCTTCAGGTTCCCAGGTGACCCAAACCAAAATAACACCAATATTGTTTAGAATGCTTATAAGTGTTTCAAACTTTTTCACATCATTCCCCGTGAGGAACTCTCAACCTCCTTGTGGCCCCGTTCAGTTCTCTCCCAAGCCCTCACAAATAATGATGAAAATAAACTGTTTTGGTTCTCTTCCTTTATTTTAATGTTTTCAATCATCAAACAGAATGCATATTTGTTACCGTTCAATGGGATGGATGACATTGTTTCCTTTCAGTCAGTCGACTGATTCAAGGTTGAGTCACTGATAAAGCACATCTCATGTCTGGGTGGAGAAACCAGATTCACATAAATAAGTAGTAGAAAATGGCAAGAGGACTCTCACTAACTTTTGTATATGACTGATACATTGAGCACCAGAATACAGTCAGAGATTTTTTCATAGAGGTCTCTGGCAGCAGAATCGTTCCTGAGATCAAGAATTCATCCTGACCATACGCCGAA